TTACAACAGACAAGACCAACATCCACGGAACAGAGGTAGAGGCAAAAACCATTGATGACACCTTCCCTCTACCAACTCGCAACAGTCATAGCAATCCAATAAGCAAATTTGAACTTCAGGTTGAGGGGCATGAGAGCCTCTCACCTATTCCAAAGCTACCTGTGCAAGCTAAATTCTTTCATCACTGTCAGTTACCATTTTTAACAACTGGCAGACCTTGGACAATGTGGAAAAGATCTACTGAGACTGAAGGACAGCAACTGGGGTACTCCTGGAGTCAGCTAGAAGTTTTGTCTCGAGAGAGTGAAGTGGAGGAGACTTGTAGATGACCTATGCTGAACTCGGAGTGCAAGGGTTTAAGAAGAAGAAGAAGACGTGTATAACCTCTGACAGATGGGTACTCCAGATTACTGAAAAGGCTATCTTATTCCTTTCGTGCCTCTACCCCTTTCCATACCCCATCCCAGACCCTTTTCAGGGATCACTCTCATGAGAAACTGCTTCAACACAAGGTAGAACACCTTTTGCACATAGGGATGATTAAACCAGTCCCTGCACAATTTAGGGGGAAAGGTTTTTCATATTACTTCCTGACAGGAAAACAGTTTGGAGGTGGGAGACCCATCTTGGACCTGCAAGCACTCAACACATTTTTTCAGAAACAGAAATTCAAGATGGTGACGCTTGCTACTATTATACCAATATTGGAACAGGATGATTGGTTCTCGTCCTTTGACTTGCAAGATGCATATTTTTATATCTCTATCCATGAAGCTCATTGACTTTTTATCCAATTTGTTGTAGGTTCACAACACTGCCAATACAAAGTACTCCCCTTTGGACTTTCTAGAGCCCCGAGAGCCTTCTCAAATGTTCTGGTGGTTATTGCAGCATACCTGAGGAAGCTAAGCATCATCATATTCCCTTACCCGGATGACGGCTGTCTAAAGGTGCGCTCAGACAACGACTTCTGCTGCTTGCTGTCGATCACAAGACACCAATTCCAACACCTCAGCCTACAAATAAATGAAGACAAATCAACGCTATCTCCCACACAAAAGATTCAGCTTATAGGAACATCTCTCCACTCAACAAGGGCCACTGCATCCCTTCCTACAACCTGTTTCTAAAAAATTGTGTCCTTGATAAACACCTTACAATACAGTCCCTGAGCAACAGTACATGAATGCCTTTAGCTCCTGGAGCATATGGCAATGTGCAATTTTATTGTCGGCAACACTTGGCTCCACATGAGATGTTTACAGGGATGGCTGGTTCAGGTCTACAAGCCCAGTATCCACCCACTATCCAAATCCCTCATCCTCCCAATACTGGTAAAAAAAATCCCTGCAATGGTAGACAAGTCCACAAAACCTTTGTTCCGGAGTCCCCTTCTATCCATCAGAACCATCCATCTCCATGACGACAGAGGCATCTCTTACATTATGGGGCACTAAGCTATGACATCACAAGGCCCAGGGTCTGTGGTCCAGCAGCGGCAAGAACAGACATATAAACTTCCTAGAACGGCATGCAGTCAGACATGCTTGCATGAAATTCTTCCTGTTCATCGTCAGCAATCATGTCAGACTGTACGTAGACAATGTTACAGCAATATTTTATATACTGGGCAAGGCCCAATCTCGACCACTTTGCATAGAAGACATTGCACTTTGGTACTGGTGCCTCAAATATGGTATAAACATTACCACAATGCGCCTTCTGGGCATCTTAAACACAATGGCAGAACCACTCAGCTGAGCCCTCCCAATCGAGCACAAGTGGCAAATAAACCCACACATGTGGTCATGCATTTTTTGACTATGAGGTCACCCCATCATAGACGTATTTGCCACACAATCCAACAGAAAATGTCACCTATTCTGCTTCAAGGCAAGGCAGGCATCGGCAAAAGGTCCATGGGAGACGCCTTTCTCATCAGCTGGTCATCCCACCTCCTGTATGCATTTCCTCCCATACCGCTGTTGAACAAGGTGGTCCACAAGGCAAAAAGAGTCAAATCGCACACAATTTGTATAGCTCCATCATGGCCACGTCAGCCATGGTTCCCCTTTTTAATGAGGATGTCTGTGTGACACTGGTCCACTTACCACACAGCCACAATCTCCTTCTTCCCCCAGAACCCCACACTGCCCAATCAAACCTTGACTCACTACACCTGAAGGCGTGACTCCTCGATGGTTCTCTGAACTAGAACTGACTTACTCACAAGAAGTACAGAGCCTTTCTACACAATAGGGTGCAGAGCACCTGTAAGACTTACCTTAAAAAATGGAAAAGATTCAACATGTGGTGCATACACCACCAGGAAGCACCCTCTACATCCTCCTTACCTGCCATCCTCGAGTATCTTCTGCACCTTAAACAAGTGGGCCTTGCAATAAGTTCCACTAAAGTTCATCTTGCCGCTATTAGTACTTTCCACCTTAAGACAGACAACTTATTAATATTTACACATCCACTCACAAAGAGCTTTTTAAATAGTCTTCAAGCACTTTATCCTAATATCACCCCACCAACATGGACCTGCATCTTGTACTGAACGCTTTAACCCGGCCACCCTTCAAACCAATGGCCACTACCTCCTACACTTATCTATGAAGACCGTCTTTCTTGCAGCCATTACAGCCTCTTCCCGACTTACGAACCGGTTATGGACCAAGCAATTGGTCATAACTCGGTTTGTTCGTAAGTCGGACCCCATAGAGTTACACGCGACCGCACTGTTCGTAAGCGCGGATCGCTTTTCTAACTCAGGGTCTGCCATTTACGACAGCTTTGGTCATAACTGCGAATGGTCATAAGTCGGCCATTCGCAACTCGGGGATCGGCTGTACCTTGGAGAGACGGGTGGGAGAGATCACAGCCCTAATCCCCCATATACCACCTTTTTTAAAGACAAGGTCACTTTACATACCCACCCATTAAGAGGTGGTCCCTCCAGACAACATACAGGCACATTCTATCAGAGCCATGTCTACCTCAATAGCATTCCTCCACAAAGTACCCATGTAAAAGGACTCTCTAGTCTGGTCCTCGAGTTGCTGGCCCCGCCGGGCCTCGCAGGGCCCTCCTCTTGGCCGCTGCCAAAAACACTGCTCCAGTTGACTGGGGCAGTAGGTGGTGAAGAAGGGGAAGAGGGATGTGGGCCTGCCCTCTCTCCGAGTCCCAACCCAGGGCCCTAAGGTCAAGGGGCAGCCTTTTCTTCCCCTACGACCTGATTGACAGGGTGTTGCCCTTAACTCGTCAGTCCGCAGACCTTCCTCCCTGGCCCTGCCCTGGGTTGCTTCCTCCCCCTCCTGTCTCAATAGGTCCCACATCCTCCTGGTATTCTCTCCTGGTGTCCTTGACATGTAACGCTATTCCCTCCGGAGCTCCCCGGTCCCCTGGAGCTGGGCCGGCTTTGGGGCACTCTACTGTCCTGCCTTGGGCACGCGGGGTGGCGGCGACTGCCCCGTGCCGCTCTGCTGCCTATTTCCCCCGGAGGGGAGAGACTGTAAGTGTGGGGCTCTGCTGCCCCGTCACAACCCATAAGAGACATTTGTGCAGCTGCTACATGGTCATCAGACTACACATTTGCAAAGCACTACGCACTTACGCAGGGACCTCTCTCCAACCTGAGATTTGCTAAGGTGCTTCTTCCCACCACATTTCTGCCAGATCCAAAGTTCCTGCCTCTTTGATCTGTAATAGCTTTGTAGTCACCTAATGTGGAGCATCCATGGGGACATCTCTCAAAGAAAAAGAGAAGGTTACTTACCTCAACAGTAACTGATGTTCTTCTTTGAGTGATGTCCCTGTGGGGTGCTCCACTTTGAGTGCTGGTGCATCCTCACACCAGCAACCAGAGATTTTTTCCAACAGTGCTCTGGAATAATTCTTTATATAAATTGTACCTGGAATATTTTGAGTGAGTGTGCATGGCAGTATAGCCTTGTGGATGTGGTACTATACTGACATTTGGGTGATGTCGTTTGATTTCCTTCTCTAGCCTGCTGAATTACTTTAAGCAAATCACTTCACCATCAGTTTTCCCCTCTAAAACAGGAATAATGCTACTTGGCTTTTAGACCTCAAGATAAAGATTGGTTTGAATAACTTTTATTCACAAGAAATCACTTAAAAAGTGGAAAATGGCTCTAAAGAATATCAAAGCCTGTTACAACAATTTTCCATTTTCAAAATGATTCCTTATGAATAAGCTAGTTGATAAATTTGAAGCCAAGGTTCTAATTCAAAAAAGCACGGAAGCAGATTTGGACCTAAGAATATACAAAATAAATTGCAAACTAATATTTACTATTCAGTATGACCAGGATCACTGCTACACTTCTGATACTACAATCTTGACATCGGCTATTTTCCTATTGGAAAATTTGCCTGTATAAGACCTGCAGGATCAGGGCATGCAGGCATTCACCAACAGAACCCTCTTCTAACGTAGATCACTTGGGCTGTGTCTACACTGGGCCACTTATTCCAGAAAATCAGCCGCTTTTCCGGAATAAGCTGCGACCTGTCTACACTGGCCCTTGAATTTCCGGAAAAGCAACGACACTCTACTGTACAAAATCAGCCGCTATTCCGGAAAAGCTATTCTGCTCCCGCTCGGGCATAAGTCCTTATTCCGGAACACTGTTCCGGAAAAGGGCCAGTGTAGACAGCCCAGTAGTCTTTTCTGGAAAAAAGCCCCGATCGCAAAAATGGCGATCGAGGCTCTTTTCCGGAAAAGCGCGTCTACATTGGCCACAGACGCTTTTCCAGAAAAAGGGCTTTTCCGGAAAAGCAGCCTGCCAATGTAGACACTCCTTTTCCGGAAAAACTGAAAACGGAATAGTATTCCGTTTTAAGCAGTTCCGGAAATTCATGCCAGTGTAGACACAGCCTTGATGTTTATAATTTTGAATTTGTTTGGAACTGTATATGCATTGGTCAATAATTAGCATAAATGCACATAATTTCTGTTTTATTTCTTTCAGTCTTCCAGGAAATTTTTTCCTATCACATTCTTCGGATCGATCACTTGGATAGCAGTTTTTTCATATTTAATGGTCTGGTGGGCCCATCAGGTAAGCAACTGATAAAGGTGTGAACTGTAAGCTTTTCTACTTGTCTTTGACATTTAGGGCCATCTGATGGATAGGAGGAGTGCTGGACAGCACCCGGTGACTTAAGGGTTACATTTAGGTAAAATGGGTGCTGGCAGGGGCGCAAAAGAACCAATGAGATACAGTGCTGAAATTTGAATTGCATATAGATACCGTTCCTGCTCTTTTTGTGTAAAAATTCGAAGTTAAGGGCTGGAAGGAGTAGATGCAGTAGTCAGAATGACCATGCCTATAAAAATATTGGACATGGGAGTGAACTAGGCCTTGAAGTACAGATCAGCACAGATCGTGAGTAAAGGGAAAACATATTTAATCACAATCAGGTTATTTTTCTTTATTTTGCTATTTGGTAAAACTTCTCTGTAAAAGCTATGTGCTCTCCTCTACCCCATTCACTATTTAAGCTGTGCCCCTCTGGAAGAAGTCCAAGTGCTTCCTTTCCTGGGTTTAAGAAGAAAGGGGTTGGATCCTTCTGAATCACTGGGAATCAAGCCACATGCTTCAGCTGGTGAATCCCTCTGACTACTGCATGATTTGTACAGCTCTAGTTCTCAAAGAAGAAAAACACTTAAGAAAAATATGAGGCCAAAGCAAATGGCACAAATTATAAAGCAAATGGCACAAATTAATTATATATATATATATAAATATAAAAAAAACCCTAGAGGTTTTTAAGTTCTGGCTTGACAAAGCCCTGCCTGGGATGATTTAGTTGGGGTTGGTCCTGCTTTTAGCATGGGATTGGACTTGATGGACTCCTGAGGTCTATTTCAACCCTATGATTCTATATCCTGATAGCACACTGCCAAACATATTAGCCTGCTGAGAATCTAACCGCATCCCCATACTGGCAGAAAGCTAATTTGGGGCTGTACAGCACCAGCAGACACATTAGCAATGGACTCTCTTATCCTGCAGACCCCTCTCCTCTTACCTCTCCAAACTACACTGTACAATACAGGGCAGCATTTGGCCCTAAAGAGGCAATCAATAACATCTTCCCTACTGACCATTTCATTAATAACATAAATATGTTCTTTTCCTCTGTATTGGCAATAAGTATTAGAAAAGTCACTAAGTCGGATTTGTCATATTTAATTCCAAAACTAAAAAATGTCATGTTCCAAAAGCTTGGGAGTTCTATTCTCTTTTCATCGGTGTTCTACTAAAGAATGAGACGAGAACATGCCCCTAATTTATTTTTCCATTTCAACCATATTTACAGCAAAGAATGCTCATTCCTTCTATGACCTCAGTGCATTCTTTTGTATTTTTCCAAATACCTTTTAGGTTGGTGAGACTATTGGCATTAGTGAAGAAATCATGGGATTGACAATCCTAGCTGCGGGCACTTCTATCCCTGACTTAATTACCAGTGTTATTGTGGCACGAAAAGGCCTAGGTGATATGGCTGTATCCAGCTCTGTTGGAAGCAACATCTTTGACATCACAGTGGGGTAAGTACTGCACAATGATAATTATGGCTAATTTTTGTCACGGTGTTGGCTACCTTTATTTTCTACTCTTTCTTATAACAGAAGAGTAGAAGATTTCAAAATACAGTAGTTTACACATGCAATGTGTTTTACTGTTTTTTTTATCTTTATCAAGGTTACTATATAATTAGGTCAAAAGTGAGTAAGTAGTTGTTGTTAAATAAATCAGTTGCATGAGCTTCCAGTTTGTGTGTATTTAAGGAACCAGTCAGATAAATTTCACATTTTTAAAATACTTAAGAATATTGTTGCAGGTGAAGTGTTTAAAGCATGCTTTGCTTTAGTCGGCAATTTTGGATTTGGTGCCTTTTATTCAGCTATCTGTGTGATCACTGATTATGAATGCTTTTGTTCTTGCAGTACCTTACCAGCTCTAGACTATAACATGAGTATTTCACCCTCTAAATAAATCCAGACATACAGGCATTGCTTCTGGTAATCTGAGGTTCCTTCACATAGTTCTGACAGTGAAAGGAGGCCTTAAAGTGTGCAGAAATGGTACCCTGAGAACATACTCTGTGCAAGGGCCTTTCTGGCAGCTATAGAGTGAAAAGGTTCAACAAAAGCCCTGCTTCCAACCCTGGGTATAATGGTAATTGGGGTAAGGACAGATGTAATGCATTGTTTGCCCCAATGGGGCCATGGGAAGCTGAGCACAAGTTAGAGGCTCATTGCTACTGTTTTAACTTACATCAGGGTCAATCAAATTCATGGCTGCCTCAGAACATAGGATGTGAGGGTTAAAGTCACCTGCCACCCACACTCTATCTCTGCTCTAAGAATAGGAACTGAAAATCTGACTATCACCACTTGCTGGCCATCAGCAGCTGAAGCAATGTAGAGCAATCTAAGGATGCTCTAAATTACACCAGGAGTTGGTTTGATATAAAACAGTCCCAGAAATTGGTGAGGTGTAGAAATGGTTTATTTTTACCACCCCATTAGCTATCCCTATCACTTTGGTCTCAGCCTCTCTCTTTATTAGTATGGTGAATGCAGTAGCATGTTTTGTTTTAAAATAATCAGTTAAGGAATGTGATATCTACACACATTAAATCACTATGCATCCCCAGTGCTTAAACTTAAAACATATGCAATGGACATATTGCAAGAAAGGTAGGGGGTTGCAATATTTCAATATAGCCTTTTATTTTTCTCAGTTTAAGATTTTATCTGTGAAAATGTAAGGCGCTTTGTATATCTTGGGCATTCTGCTATAATTTTGATTAAAAATGGCATAATTCAGCTTAGTTTCCAGTTTAAGTACAGCTTAAGCCTTAAAAAATATTTCATTTTGATCAGGTTAATCAGAGATTAGATGGTTTGAATTATGTGAGCTTTTCAGACATTTTTTACCTGTTCACAGCTCTGCTAAACGCTTATGAATGGTTTAAATGTTTATTTCTATTTGACATAGTCAGGAGTAATGTTGCCTCAGAAGAGCTACAGAATGGAAAATGCAGTAATACCCACCACAGACACAGAAAATCAGCTTAAGTTTAAACACTTTTCCATTAGCTTATACTCAAGGTCTACGTCTACACTGCACGCTTCGGGTATGTCTACACTACAGCATTAATTCGAGTTATCTTAATTCAAAATAGTTCATTCAAATTAAGCTAATTCGAATTAACACGTCTACACACAAAATGCAGCTCGAATTAGCATTTTGCTAATTCACAAAACTGCATCCACACTGACTGGACACAGAATCGGATTTAAGGCCAGCCAGAACCAGGTCAGGCAGGGCATCAGGTCCGGAGTGTCTGCGTGTGGCTGCTGCCTGAGGCTATCTGAGGCCTGTGCTTAAAGGGACAGCCCACTCAGGCAGCCGGTTCTCAGGTGTTCCTGCTTGCTTGCCTGCCTCGATGAGGGACAGCAAAGCATTTATGTCTCTGCGTGCTTTGGTTGCCCTCACTCGGGACACCACAGCACTCTGCAACATGGAGCCGGAGCTGCCCCTGGGCACTCTGGTGCTTCTTGTGGATGTGTTGCTGTGAGCCTGGCTGCACTTTCTGCAGGCTGCCATCCCGGAGGTCCATCGGGGGGCTGTCAGTGTCCAGCAGGCCCTGCAGGAGAGCTTCCACCCTGAGGAGCACTAAGAGTCTCCCTGGTCTGCCCCACTGGGGGCTTGTGCCTCATTCCTCCCTCCTTCCACTTACCCCTCTCTGACCTCCCTTCCTGATGTCAAATAAAAACACATTTCTTACCAAAAACAAACTCTCTTTATTGATCGAAACTGGGGTGGAATGAGGGTGGGAGAGGGGAGAGGGAAACCTGGGAGGAGGGAGCTGGAAGGGGGAGGAGAAGCTCAGAGTTGGGGGTCTTGCTGGACCAACTAGATTTTCATACAAACCTGCTCTTGGGTTTGCGTGTGGCCTTTGGTGGCCAGGCTGGCAGCTTTCCTGCCATAGACGGCTGTGTTCCTCTGTCTAGTGCAGAGATCATGGACATTGGGGGCATCCGCCCAAACCTGAGTATGGTCCACCCTGATCTCTGCTCTGGACCAGGAAGGCGCCCAACTTCTCCGGGCCCAGGCAGGCTCCTGGGAGCTGGCAGACTACTCCTGGGGTGCAGTGGAGGTCTGGCTGCCAGTGGCTTGCTGGCTCATGTTTTGAGGCCACTGGGTCGGGACAGTGACTGCTGGCTCTGGGCCGGCAGGCTTGGAGCTGGCACAAGCACTGTGGCCAGAGTCTGTCTCTTTAAGGGCTCCGGGGCTGGGGGGAGGGAGAAGAGTTTTCCTGGTTTGGCCCAAAGCGGCCACCAGGGGAAACTGGGAAGGCTGGAGGCCCCCTATTTCAGAATAAGCGTCTACACAGCGCTTATTCCGAATTAGCTAATTCGAGTTAGGCATAATTTCTCGTAAAATGAGGTTTAACTAACTTGAATTAAGGGCCCCACTATTTCGAATTTAATTCAAAATAGCGGTTTGCTTGTGTAAACACTATGGGTATGTCTACACTACCCTCCTAATTTGAACTAGGAGGGTAATGTAGGCATACCACACTTGCAAATGAAGCCCGGGATTTGAATTTCCCGGGGTTCATTTGCATGAAGCCAGCCGGCGCCATTTTTAAATGCCGGCAGTTTGAACCCCGTGCCATGCGGCTACACGCAGCACGGAGTAGCTAGTTCGGATTAGGTTTCCTAATCCGAACTAGCTGTACTCCTCATGGAATATGTGCTTTTGCGCAAGAGATCTGCTTTTGCGCAAAAGCATCCTTGCCAGTGTAGATGTTTTCTTGCGCAAGAAAGCTCCGATGGCCATTTTAGCCATCAGGCTTTCTTGCGCAAGAAATTCAGGTTGCCTGTCTACACTGGCCTCGTGCGCAAGAACAGTTGCACAAGAGGGCTTTTTCCTGAGCGGGAGCATCATAGTTCTTGCGCAAGAAGCACTGATTTCACACATTAGAACGTCAGTGTTCTTGTGCAAGAACTCCCCGCCAGTGTAGACAGGCAAAATCATGCCAATGTAGACACAGTCTAAGGGTTCTTGGGAGCATAGCCATCTCACTTACGTGAATTCCCTTCCATTCTTCACCTCCCAACATAAACCTGTGGCAGCAGAAACGTAGTAAATACTTACTTTTTGGAGGTGCCCAAAGAGCTGCATGGTGGTAGGATAGGTGCTGAACAGACACAAAAACTAACCAATTCTGTTCTCCTCACTGGCTGATACTCTGGCCACCGTCTTCTCCAGCTTGTCAGTCTGTGCCTGGGCCTCAACTGGGAGCAATTGCTGAGAAATAGGATGTGTGTCAGCCTAGCCCAGGCATGTCCAAAGTCCGGCCCGCGGGCCAATTGCGGCCCGTGTTCTGGTTTAATACGGCCCCCCCAGGTAATTTGGCAATATCTATCTTTTATGGCCCCCAACGAATCCATATGTATTGAGATGAATACATTGTAAAATCTCAGTTAATGTCAGTTGGTCTAAATCAGTTATAAATATATTTGGACACAACATGTATACTTGGTGTTATGTTCCTGTTCATATTTTTTGAACTTAAAAGTTGACAGACAACCTTTATTACCAATAATATGTAATGTACTTTACAATGTTCCTGACATATATTTCAGCTTCCTGGATTTTTTTTTCATCTGGCCTTCAGATATGAAAGGCAGAGTGATTTAACACCTGTTTAGATTTGTCATCCATGTGACGAAATGAAAAGTATGTTGTTTGCAATAAACTTTGCATAAAATAGTTAATTTGCATTTAATTTTAATGGTTCAAAGAATGTCAGGCAAAATGGTCGGCCCTCACGCATGTTCACTTCATCAAATCTGGCCCTTTTTGAAAAGTTTGGACTCCCCTGGCCTAGCCTCACCTAATCTATTCCCCAAAGCTCAGTACAGAAATGCCTTACTGTGTCCCTGCACTATCCTATTAAATGGGCTTCATTATATTTAAATCAACAAGTTTATGTTGAATTGTGCCCCCAGAGCACTTTAGCACCATTATTTGTTTCTCTATGGCATTTCCAAATTCTCTTTGTGTTTTTCAGTCTTCCTCTTCCATGGCTCCTGTACGCTGTAATTAACAGCTTCTCCCCGGTAACTGTCAGCAGCAATGGATTGTTCTGTGCTATCGTCCTCCTCTTCATCATGCTACTCTTTGTCATCCTCTCCATTGCTTTATGCAAGTGGAAGATGAATAAATTCTTGGGCTTCACAATGTTTGGTCTCTATTTCATATTCCTGGTCGTCAGCGTGCTTTTGGAGGACAAAGTGATCTTGTGTCCTATCTCTATCTAGTACGAAGCGCTGTTTCTTGAACAAAACAAATAACTGCAATGGACAGTGTCCCCTGTGAATAAGCAGAGAGACCATAACCCTTTTTATTACAACAAATAAATAAAGAGGATGAAAAGAGCTGGATTTGAAGTGGAAAATTGTGCTGCTGAACAAAACTGTTAATTGTAAAAGGTGAGATCAGCTACTCTGAAGCTTCTCTGCATGTCACTTGGAAGATCTTGCTGCTCACTGGCAGAGGTCCTCTTTGTGTGCTATAACAAAACAAGTTATTATATGTACTACACGTATACTATGTTGTATCTCTCCTTCTCTATATTACTATATGTCTATTCATGGGCACAAAGAGTAATATATTCGTACAGGTATTACTAGTTGAATGTCAGTGAAAGATGTTAGCCAACTCGTGACTGCATGAGTAACCGACAGAAACAGACTCACACATCTCTTCATTCAGGTGGACTTGTGCTGTGAGCGTGGACACATTTTGGATATCCACATTGTAGAAGTCCTTGGCAAATTACAGATGATGTTTCAATAGAATACTGCTAAACTGTGCAGCATCCAGAAACCTTGGCTCTAGCACTGTTGGTGCACTGTAGGCTGACAATTTTTACTTGATATAGACACTCGTGATAGTCAAAGGTGAAACCCAGACTGGGGATTTGTGGCCTCTTCTGGCATTATCTCAGCATGCAAGCAGAAAATTCGACTACTACGTGAATTCACTACTTTCTATAGTGCAGCAATACTATAAATAGTACCAATGTATTTCTGATGCTATTACCACTATAGGTTTGCCTTTTCATATCAGAAAGAAGGCTGGATTTGCTTATGTGTAGTATTTCATATAAAATTTAGATGCAGCTGCATGATGGAAAGCTGAAGCAAAAATCCTTGTATAGACTATTTCCCACCACTAATTATCAAGAATAAATCCTTCAGTGTTACTTACTTTCTCATTAGCTTTGTGGCAGATCCTCAATTGATGTGAATTGTCACAGTTCCCTAATGAAGCTATGACAATTTATTCCAGTTGAATGTCTGCCCCTGTAAGTCTCAGAATTTAGCAAGGGGCTCTAACAATTGTAATATGGTCAGGTGAGGCAGAGTTTTCTGAAGTGTTAACGTGTTAATTATGGTGGTCTGAGGGGGCCCATGGAAGAAGATCCCATTCTAGTTCATATTAAAAAAATGAGAACAGAAGCAGGTCCAAAA